TTGCCCTGCCGACTCTTGGCTTCTATCACAGACCTGCCCAGGCTCTGAGGAGCTGATGACTCACTTGTTTTTGCCTTTCATAGCAAAAGAAGAAAAGCAAGAAGGAAAGGGAGCTGGAGAAGCAGAAGGCAGAGAAAGAGCTGTCCCGCATGGAGGAGGCGCTGATGGACCCTGGGCGACAGCCAGAGTCGGCAGATGATTTTGACCGACTGGTGCTGAGTTCCCCCAACAGCTCCATCCTGTGGCTGCAGTACATGGCCTTCCACCTGCAGGCCACGGAGATCGAGAAGGCCCGGGCCGTGGCTGAGAGGGCTCTCAAGACCATCTCCTTCAGGTCTGGGCTCCGTCCCCCTGCTTCAGGGAGGGGCCTTTGGACAGGAAAGGCCTTGTCTCCAAGGTTGCAGACTGACAGCAACTGGAGTGGCTGCTACCTGGGGTTCCCGGACTCTCTCTCAGATTCTGTGAAATAGATCTGCTCATCTATAATTCATAGTCCTCTTCACTGTTTGCAAGAGTCTCTAACTTAAATAATGTGCCCAACTTGGAGCAGAAGTAGAATAGGGAACACGCCTGGGTGAAAACTCTGCGTGTGGCCATTTTCCAGGCAGAGAGTAGAGAGTGTCCTGAGGGCTGATGAAGAGGAGTGGTGATCCTTTACTTTCATTCTCTTAGTTTGGGGAGAGAAGCAGACCAGAGGTTCTGCTCCTTCCAGCTCAGCCCTCAGGCTTATTTGAGATTGGTAGGCTTCCTTCCTGGGAATGGAGTAGAGCTTCCGACTGGGAGCCCCATACCCCACGGTCAGGGTGGTACTTCCTGCTGCTGCTGCGAACTGCAGTGGGACAGGGCCTCTCGGTGCCTGGGAGGAGGGTGGGAGCTGAGGACATGGTTGGAGTCTGGGAGGAGGAGGATGGTTCCAGTCGACATCCCCAGAGTGGAGTGAAGGGCTCTTTGGGCTGAGATGATGGAGCTCAGGCACCGACTGCTCTCCTTCCAGAGAGGAGCAGGAGAAGCTGAACGTGTGGGTGGCACTGCTGAACCTCGAGAACATGTACGGCTCTCAGGAGTCTCTGACCAAGGTCTTTGAGCGGGCTGTGCAATACAACGAGCCTCTCAAGGTCTTCCTCCAGCTGGCTGACATCTACACCAAGTCGGAGAAGTTCCAGGTAGGGGTCTGGGCCTGGCGGCCTGCTGAGCCTGTCCCCTGGGGGTCACGGAGGCAGCAGGGAAGAACCCCCATGTTCTGGGACCCTGTTCTAGTCTTAGGATCTCTGGGTGCCAAAGGGTTAGGAGGGGGATCTCCATGTCAGGCCTCCTCATCTCTGGGAGCCTGCGCTCTCCCCTCAGTAGCCAGAGTTGGGCCTGCATAGCAGTTGGCGTCTGAGCCCAAGTCTGGCTTCTCACAGGCGGAGCTGCCGGTCTTTGTTGTCGCCCCCTCTGTCGCATCACCTTCTCCAGCTCGCCTGGTCTTTCCCACAGGAAGCTGGTGAACTCTACAACCGGATGCTGAAGCGTTTCCGGCAGGAGAAAGCTGTCTGGGTCAAATACGGGGCCTTCCTTCTGCGGAGGGGCCAGGCGGGGGCCAGTCACCGGGTGATGCAGCGAGCCCTCGAGTGCCTGCCTCAGAAAGAGCGTGAGTGCCTAGCCCCACTCTCGCCCGATTCCTGGGCACATCGGGCTCACCCACATCTGGGCACAGGGGTTGGGGACCCCTCATCTGAGGGTGGTGGCAGGAAGCCTCGCGGCGGTTACCTAGATGTCTGTCTCAGGCACGTAATGTGAGTTGCAGTTAGCACTAATTCCATTGCCCTGGCCCCCGGAGAGGAGGGTGTCTGTGGTGGGGGTCACAGGTCAGTGCCCATCTGTGCATATGGCCCTGATCTACCCCACTGTCCCTCTTGTCACTGCCTGTGTCTTGGGACATGGGCAGGGAGTCAGGAGTCAGGCTCAGTCCCTGTGGTGCATTGCATTGTGCTGCGGGCCCTGCCTGCTTTGTGTGTCTGAGTGTCCTCTCCCTGCAGACGTGGATGTGATCTCCAAGTTCGCCCAGCTGGAGTTCCAGCTGGGGGATGCAGAGCGGGCCAAGGCTATTTTTGAGAACACACTGAGCACCTACCCAAAGCGCACGGATGTCTGGTCAGTCTACATCGACATGACCATCAAGCATGGCAGCCAGAAGGAAGTCCGGTGAGAGGGGCAGACAGAGCGGGGCTGACATCCCTGTGGGGGTTGGGGACATCGGCCAAGCAGATGACTTTAGCAACCACAGCAGCTCCAGCGTCCCCTGTTGTCTGGAAAAACAGCTTTGACATGTCAAGTCCTATGGCATTCACTTTTCCAGCTGTTTCTTCTGCCTCGGGCCAGTCTCTGGTCGGTATCTGGAACCTTGGGTGGGAGATAGGCTGGCCACTGGCCTGGGGTCCGGAGACTTGGCTTTCCCTCATAATTAACACTACCTGACTCCCATTGTAGAGAATGTTCACAGGCATAACCTCACTGTTGTCCGCCAGCATCTCCCCCCCATCCCCACCCCCCAAGCAGGGAGGATTAGAGATGGGTAGACTGAGCTCCAGAAAGAACTAGTGCCTCCCCTCAGCCCATGTTTCATGTGTGTTCCCTCCCGGTAGCTTTGCCCTGACTTACCGTGTGACTTTAGGCCAGTAAGTCCTTTAACACCTCTGGTGTCTGTGCTCACCTGGACGGGAAGGGAGGTATTCTCTCGCTCTCCCATTCACACGGTGACTGACATCCACATGATGGGAGTGGACATGACGGGAGTAAAAATGAAGCCAGACGCGGGCGTGCTGGGTGACAGATGCCTGCTCCAGAGCCTGAGAGCCAGTGGGGAAGGTTAGCCAGGAGCCGTGTGGGGGGACCGAGAGGCAAACCTGCCCTGCTCTCCCTCACAGGGACATCTTCGAGCGCGTCATTCACCTGAGCCTGGCCCCCAAGCGAATGAAATTCTTCTTCAAGCGCTACCTGGACTATGAGAAGCAGCACGGCACGGAGAAGGAGGTGCAGGCGGTGAAGGCGAAGGCCCTGGACTACGTGGAGGCGAAGAGCTCCGTGTTGGAGGACTAGCCGCAGGCTGGCTCCAGACGCCCCTGCCTCCGGGCCCAGCCCTGCCAAGCCTCAGGCTCCGGCATTGACAGCTGTGTTGCCTGGGGACTCTTATTTATGTGCTGCATTTTCTGCAGCAACTTTGGGACAATCCTGTTAGGATAAAAAGGCATTTCATATAAAGTCCTTTTTATTACTTTGTTTCAAGTACCAACTTCATTTCTCTCCTTTTCTGAGGCTGCTCAGGTTCTCCATGGGAGCTCCCTGGAGCAGGAGTGGACGGGCTGACTCCTGACCGTCTGTGGCCCTGGCAGGCTCTTGGGATAGCCAGAGGGGTCAGCAGGGCCCAGGAAGTAGGCCCCTCCTTTAGATCCGGGAGTGTCTGGGCCTTCTCTTAGCCGGAGCGCAGCCTTGTGCCCTTTTGTGGAGGTTGCGAGTTGGGACAGAAGGGAAAGGATAGAGCCCAGGAAGGAAAATGGAGGCACCTGGGCAGCTGAGAGGAACGCCACCTGGTGCTGTCTCCTCAGCCCCCCAGGGCCAGGTGACCCAGCCTCTCCAAATGGTGTCTCATTGTGAAATGGGGCTAAAAAATCCTACCTTGCAGGGTTTTGTGGATGAAATGAGAGCATGCATGTCGTATGCTGCCTGGCAGATAGGAGGCTCGGTGAGGACCTACACTGGCGTGCTGTGTGTGGCTCCGGGGAGAACAGTTGCTGGGCGGAGGGCGTTTATGGACCTGATGGTTATTCCTTAAGGCCCAAGGGAGAGGCGATGTGATGGGCTCCGGCCTCCTTCATGAAAATCTCAGAAAGACGGTCTCTCTGCATCATTTGATAAGTAATGATCCAGAGATCTTGGAGGCCAGCACAGACCCAGCTGGCTATTGAAGCCAGTTCTTTTTTGGCTCGGTCTTGAGGGAATTCATCATGTTCTTTGGCAGGAAGCTTTTCCATGGGCAATGACCGAGTCATGTGCCGTGAAGCAGGGCCAGGACGAGGGAGGGCATCAAAGGTTTCAGGTGGTGGAGGCAACCGGGCAAGGTGAGCGTGGGAGGGAGGAGGAGCCAGGGCTGGCCTGGTTTTGGTTATTAGCACTGGACTGTGAGAGCTAGTCTTCCCTCCTGAGTGCAGGATCTTCTGACCCAAGAAATTTAAGCTGAGCTTCCCTCTGGGTGGAAGGGACCAGGCTCTCTCTGTTTCTCCAGATCAAGTGAGATACCTGAACCCAGCGCCTAAGAGCTCATCAGCCCAGAGCTTTCCCTCCTGTGGGAGCACCTGCCTCCCTCCTGTCCGTGTGAGCCCAGGGCCTCCCTGTCCCCTTCCTTCTCACAGGAGATGGGATTTAGGCCTGTCCCCATGATCACCGATCTGCTGTGGCATGGCCCCCTCCAATCACACAGACAGCAAGCTAGTCCTTTATACTTAGAAAAGCTTTATAAAAAATGTAAATATATAAAATAAAGCCAGTGGCATGCATCGAAGGGCAGCTTCCCAGCTGAGCTGGGTGTCCATAAGCAGTTAGACACAAATTAACCGCACAATGTCCTGTACGGCGAGCCTGCTGGCGGGTTTCACTGTCCCCTCGCTGTGCTGGCCAGGGCTCCTCTGCTTTGGAGCCCATCAGTAGAAGGTCCTCCCCAGCACAGTTAATAACTAAGGACCAGTTCTGAGTCCACATCTTCCCTCCCAAGCTATTGGCCAGGTGGCTGGGGGCAGTAGGAGAGGGGATTTCTTCAGGTCAGAGAGCCTTCCTGTCACACTGACCACCTTGTGCAACAGCTCTCTCCTCTGTACCCATTACTCTGGTTCTTTCTCTTGGTCTGTTTTTCCCAGAAAGCCATGGGTAAAAGGAAAAAAAAAAATCTTCTGATGCCGATGAGAGCAGACAGTGGGGTCCAGGGTTGGACCAAGGATCGTCATTTGCGGAGTGTGGGAGCGGGAACCTCAGGAGACGAGCAGGGCCATCTCCACGTTGTCCGGGGCCGTGCCGTTGCCCGGCAGCCCCTGGGCCCACTTGTGCAGGCGGCTGTAGAGGGGGAGGCCCTGGTTCTCCCGGTACAGGTAGACGCCGGTGATGGCGTTCCACTGCGGCCGCGGCTGCGTGCCTTCCACGGGGAACTTGGCCATCAGCTCCTCGTCGTCCTGGTCGAGGGCCACGAAGCCAAAGAAGCGGCGCACGTTGCTGGCGGCCAGCACCCGGGAGTGCGCCTCGGCGGTGCGCTGGAACAGCTGTTCCTCGTTGCTGCGGTACTGCGCCCAGTAGGCCTCCTGCCGGTAGCTGAGCGGCGAGCAGCAGTGCTTGAGGCACTTGGTCAGGAACACCAGCACGGCCACCACACCTATGAGCAGCCACCCGAAGAGCTGGCCGGAGAAGGGGCAGGGTGAGGAGGGGCAAGCTGCTGTCTGGACCCCACACCCGCCCACCCAGGTTGAGATCGGGGCTGGGCTGGCCTGAACTTGGGCCTCAGAACCCCCTGAGAACGGGCCCTCATGTCCCTGAGTGAAGATTCTGCTTCTGGAAGGGAAGCAGGCCCTTCCGACTATAATTTTGCTGCTTTTTCCTCACTCTCAAATTCAGTTTCTGCATTTTCTGCTGCCATTTCTCCCTCCCCCCCCTTTTTAAAAAAAAAAATATATTTTTTTATTGATTTCAGAGAGGAAGAGAAAGGGAGAAAGAAATAGGAACATCAATTGGCTGCCTCCTGCACGCCCCCTACTGGGGATTGAACCAGCAACCCAGGCATGTGCCCTGACTAGGAATCAAACTGTGACCTCTTGGTCCATAGGTCAATGCTCAACCACTGAGCCATACTGGCCGGGATCTGCTGCCATTTCTCTAGCCCCAAGGTTTACCCCCTCCCTTACGTCATTCCAGCCCATCAAAATCTAGATCAAATTGCCAGGCTCAGCCCAGATGCTGCCTCTTGTCTTTCCTACCTCTCCCATGGCCTGGTCCTTACTCTCTGCCTTGCTTTGAAATTGCCCATGTGCTTGTCTCAAACACTCGCTTGGGTGTGAGCCTATTTCCCCATTTGCTCCTCTAGAGAGGTCTGTGGGCTTTTGATCGTCAAATTTTATTTCTGTCTTTCATCTCCCATCTCCTTTGGTGCATTTCCAACCCTGCTTCTCTGTTTGTGTTTTTATTTATGTACCTGGGAGACCTTTGAAAGAATCTTATGCTCTTCCCTGTCTGTTCCTCGCCCCCTGTTGCTCTCAGTTAATGCTTCCAGCTCAGTTTTTCTGTTTCTCCCCACATCTCTGCTCTTCTGTCCTCTAACCAACCTTCACTCCTTCAGAGCTAAGCCCAGGCTGAGGCTAGGAGCACCCTGGCTCAAAGGGCTGCCTTATGTCAGCAGCGCCTGAGGCTATTTCATTCCTGGGAGAGGAACACTGGTCCCTGGAGCCAGCCACACCCCACTATCAGCTCCTGGTCCCTAGCAAATGTTTCATAGGCTTGCAGGATGTGTGCTCCTTCTGGCTGGAGTAAGGGACTTAATCCACGACTGGGATCAAGGTTCAGTCTGAGCCAGAACATTCCTTTAACATTTAAAACGTATTTGTGATTGAGTTGTCCCACCAGACACTAACCCATGGGGTTACCCAGTTCTGACACCTGATGCTGCTTAGTGCTTTGCTGGAGATATTGGCTGCTCCCCATCAAAGGAAGAAAGGAGGGGCGCTTCCCTTGGCACACCTTACCTGGGACTCGTACTTGAGCCTGCGACTGACCTCCTCCCGGAAGCCGGACAGGTTGGCGGGGCCCTCCCCGCAGGGGAACCTGGCCAGGATCTCCAAGGCGTGGTCCCGTGGGAAGCCCTCTCCCCCTGCTGTGAGCGAGGAGGGGTCCACGAACTCGCTGAGAGCACAGACATAGGCCTCCCCGCGCAGCAGGGAGATGACGGACCAGGTGATGGGGGCCACGGCCGCGCGGCCCAGGATGGAGCTCAGGAGGAGGAAGGTGGGGGCCGCCGAGCAGTTCTTGGTCCTCCGGTACTGGCACTCGGTAACCAGGTTCCAGGTGTGGTTGTTGAGGATGACGCCGATGATGAAAAGGGCGAGGGCGGGCACCCCGATGGCCGTCAGCCCGTACAGGTAGTTTCTGGCCGGCGAGCAAGGGCAGTGGAAAGCCACCACGGAGAACAGCTCCTGGCTGCCCACCGTGCCCAGGGCCACCAGCCCGTTGAAGATCATCACGTCCTTGCTCTTGAAGAAAAGCGACAGGAAGCGGAAGTTCTCGGCGATCAGGGCTGCCATGGTGAGAGGTCAGCTGGAGGACTGGCTGCAGGGGTGGAGGCAGGTGGTGACGGATCGATGGCGCCTGGTGAGACTAACAAAGAGAGCAGGCAGGTGGGCACCTGAAGGCAGGACACGGTCTTGTCATCTTATCCCCTAGAGTGGCTGGCCCTGTACTCCCTGCAGAAGAGGAGATCACTGATGAACATTTGCCTCTGAAAATGGGGAGAGAGGAGATTCTGTGTGTTCAGGCTGGTGAGAAGGGAAGGAGACGTGGGGAGCTCGAGGGCCTGGTGGGGATGATGGTAGCCACATTTCACTGAGCTCCTACTGTGTGTCAGGTGCGTTACAGCCCTCGCTGCCCGGCATCATGATCCACACTGAGCTTTCACATCCCTCATGTATAGAAGGTGGAGGCTCCTGCCAAAACCAGTTTGGCTCAGTGGTAGAGCATTGGCCTGCGGACTGAAAGGTCCCAGGTTCAATTCCGGTCAAGGGCATGTGCCTTGGTTGCAGGCACATCTCCGGTAGGGGGTGTGCAAGAGGCAGCTGGTGGATATCTCTCTCATCAATGTTTCTAGCTCTCTATCTCTCTCCCTTCCTCTCTGTAAAAAAAAATAAATAAATAAAATAAAATAAAGAAGAAGAAGAAGGTCTAGGCTCCTGAAGAAGAACAAGAAGAAGAAGAAGAAGAAGAAGAAGCAGCAGCAGCAGCAGCTGTAGGCTCCTGAGGGGGAGTGGCTTAGCAGGGCCACATAAGTGTCTGAGACCACACCTCAGGTCTATCTGCCTCTGACACTGAGGTTGCTACTGCAAGATTCTCTCGAGGTAGGGGTTAGGAATGGCCCTGTGGCCTTGGGGAATATGGGACATTGACTGGGATTCCAGGCTGATGGACTAGGACTGTTTGGGGTGTGTGTCCTCAAAGGGGTTTAAAGGCTGGGGTGGGTTGTCCTGGTGGATAAGGGACTTGGACTTGACCCTGTGATGTGGGGCAGGTGGAGGAAGGAGGTGAGCCTGGTTCAGCATCCCTTGGAGACCTCAGGCTCCGGACTGGTGTAGGACATCCTGACTGAGCACTCTTCCTGCCTTTCCTCTGGGCCTCAGCGTCCTCACCCAGGAAAGGAGCCTAACTCATTCTGGGCCTTGTCTCTGAGGAATGCGGAAGGGAGGAAGGCACACACCAGGCCTGCTGGTGTCCCACAGGACACTGTCCCTCCATCGTTCTCACCCGGCTGAGCCTTCAAGGTGAGGCAGGGTGGGATGGTTCTCCATCCTGCAAAGATCAGGAAACTCAGGTCTAAAGAGAACAAAATACCTTGCTTGGGGCATTCAAACATGCATCATTTGATAAGTAACATGCAGGTGAGCCCTAGCCAGTTTGGCTCAGTGGATAGAGCATCTGCCTGCAGACTGAAGGGTTCCAGGTCGATTCTGGTCAAGGACATGTACCTTGGCTGCAGGCACATCCCCAATAGGGAGTGTGCAGGAGGCAGCTGATCAGTGTTTCTCTCTCATAGATGTTTTTCTCTATATATCCCTCTCCCTTCCTCTCTGTAAAAAAATCAATAACATATATTTTTTTAAAAACAAACAACAACAACAAAAAGCACAAATGTGCAGGTGTGCAGGCAGGACTTCTGACCACAAGCTCAGGAGGCCTAAAAATAAACCAGGGTGAGTCAAGCTAAGGGAGTCCTCCATTGCTCTGTGCCCATCTACGAGAGTCCTGGTGAACCTCCTCTTCCTCACCCTCTGCCTGCTCCCCATCCAGCAGCCTCCCGGCAGCCCTCTTCCACCAGGGCCTGGATGCAGGGACCACACAGCTGCCAGCGACAGGAAGTCTCGGTGAAGGCTGAGGCTCGGCTGTGCCCACAGTGGCTCTGCCTCGGTCTGTGCTGCAGCCGCGCTGGCAGCCTGCCAGGAAATGGTCGTGGCCTAGGCCCCGGGCTGGTTCTGCCCCGGCTGCCTCCCACCCACACAAGCCAGAAACAAGCCAGGGTGTGGCCGGTCCCCTGTGTTCCTCTCCTCATCCCTGGGGTGAAAAAAAACCGTAGGCCAGGGAAGAGAGGGATGGGGGAGGGGGTAGATGTGGAAGAGGGCTTAAAAGGGATACATGGTGATGGGAAAGAGAAAATAAAACTTTAAAAAATTCCACAGGCCAGAGGAAGCCAGGGAGGGAGTAGGGGGCTGGTGTGGGCAGCTCACTCATGTGAGGAGACTTGACCATATTTCCTGCTCTGCCTCCTCTCTGCCCAGGTTGCCAGGTGGGCAGGGCGGAGCTGGCTGACCATGTGTGGGATGCCAGGAGATGGAGGCAGAGGGGGATCCAACTCACAACCGTGGGGCTCCAGGCTAGCTCCCTGGAAAAGGGAGTATTAATAGTATTGCTGAGGAGGAATGGGTTAAAAGCAGCCCCTTCTCCCTCTCCCCGTTTGGTTTCAAGGTTCCTAATGAGCTCTCTGTGGAAGGCCCTGGGTTTATAAACTACAAAGTGGGGTATGAGATGCCTGAACACGGAGTCCAGGCCAACCTCTGAGACTACTGTCCCCTTCCTTCCCCCTGCGCTGGGAGTGAGACCTCCAGCAACAGTCAGGGCAGGAGTCACATGACTGGGGGAGGGACTGGACTGCCCCTGCCCAGAGTTAGGGATGGGGGTGGGGGTGGGGATGCCTCAGCGAGGGGCCTCTCTCCAGGACAATCCCTCTGGGCGGCCCCAGATTGGCCCTGCCCTGCTCCGTCACCAGGCACACCCCAGGGAGGGGACCTTCCTTACCTGGGACCAGCGGCGGGCGGGCGCGGGTGCGGCAGAGTGGCTTTGGCCTCCTTGTGGCTGGGCTCTGAGTGGCGCTCAGACAGGGGAGCGTGGGGCCTGCTGGGGTGGGGCCGCTGCTCCACCGAAGTGCCTTCTGTTGGCCATGCCCTCCGAGAACGCCCTCCCACTTTCTTCTGCACGGCCAGGGGAGTCCTCAGGAAAGTTAAACTCCCAAAAGAGGAGGAAACAGCGGGATGGAGCTTGTGCGCCAGCGAGTGGAAAACATCCCCGAGCCGGGGCGAGGAGGCGGGCAGCAGAGGGCGGTGCGAGAGGAGAGGAAGTTGGGGTGCCTGTTGAGCAGCTCTTGGCCCGAGGCCTCGCCTGGCTCTGCCTGCCTTTCCGAAGAGAGCTGCTGCCCTGCCCGGAGCCCACCCGGCTGTGCCCCACACCAGTGGGACTGGTTCAGGGGCCAGGCAGCGGCCTGTGGGAGAACTGGCCTGAGCCTGCCTTCCCAGCCAATTACCAGAGCAGCCCCTATGCTTGACACCCCGCCCCCAGCTCTGGCTAGACAGAAGCTGCTGGGACAAAACCTGGGCAGGGTTAGGGAGAGATGCCATCAGACTGAAGCTGACCCATCACAGGATATGCAAGGCTAGGCTCGCCCCTTTGCCCCCTGCCCCCAGCCTCCACCCCATCCCCACCCCTCTTCTGGCCCTTCTCCTTCGGTCACTGCCTAGAAGAATCTTTCCATCCAGACTCCAGCTAACTCCTCAATCTCAGAGGATTGAATTCTGGAGTCTAGGAACTCCGCGAGGCCCTGTGGGCAGAGCTCTGACTGGTTGGTGGAAATTACAAGGAGGCGGGTTTTTAAGGAAGGTCTCTATAATGATCAGATCTGTCCATACTGCCAAAAAGTGGTCCCGGGTTTGATTCCCCCATCTGTGGAGTAAGCCCCCCATCTGTGGAGTATGCAAGCTAAGGCTGAGAAGCCACGGGTCAGGAATTCTGCAGAGGAGAGAGTCTTGTCCAAGGACAGGCTGGATGACTCCTAGGATCAAGGGAAAGACCCCTAGCTCTGTAATGCGTGTGGTTCTGTCGCAGTGGAACTGCTGGGTGACATGCTGGCCTCTGAGCTGGACTTGTCCTTGTGCAGAAGAGAAGGGCAAGGGACCAGTGTTTATTATTCGGATCCTACCACATGCCAAGCACTGTTCCAGATTCTTTCTTCAACGTTATCTCCCGTTATCCTCACCATCAACCTGGAAAGTGCAGCTCTTTTAATGTCCATTCTACAGATGGACACACTGAGGCTCGGAGGGATTCGGTGACTTACCAGAGGTCCCACAGCTCTAGTATTTAAACCCACATCTGCCTGACCCAAAGCTTTACTCTTCACATTTTTACTTCCCAATACCTTCTGGCTGGTTTTCCCATTGGAAGTTCCCCCTTTTCTCCCAATACACATCTGATCTTTACTCATCTGAATCCTCCCCCTCATTCAGGATTTAGATCAAGGCCCACATCCTGGAGGAGCCCAGAATTCTTCCCAGCTTGGCCTGCAGGGATGGCCCTCCTCCCAAATCATTAAAGGGAGGGAGACCAGGCTTCGGACATGGGACTAGAGAGAGGGGTGCCTACGGAAGAATGTATGTTATTAAAACAACGTTGTAGGGCTCAAGATCAAAATGAATTCTTAGCCCAGCCGATGTGGCTCAATGGTTGAGTGTCAACCTGTGAACCAGAGGATCATGGTTCCATTCCTGGTTAGGGCACATGCCCGGTTGTGGGCTCAATTCCTGGTAGGGGGCGTGCAGCAAGCAGCCGATGGATAATCTCTCATCATTAATGTTTCTATTTCTCTCTTCCTCTCTGAAATCAATACAAATATGTATTTTAAAAAATGAACTCTTAGATGAGTAGGACTTGCATCTTTTAAAAAAAATATATTTCTTTATTGATTTCAGAGAGGAAGGGAGAGGGAGAGATAGAAATATCAATGATGTGAGAGAATCATTGATTGGCTGCTTCCTGCATGCCTCCTACTGGGGATTAAGCCTGCAACCCAGGCATGTGTCCTTGTCTGGAATCAAACCCAGGACACTTCAGTCTACAGGCCAACACTCTGTCTACTGAGCTAAACCTGCTAGGGCAGGACTTGCATCTTAAAGATAGGTGAGAGGACAAGAAGCCCATCTTCTTGGCCCTGTTTCCTCCTCTTTAACAAAGATGGCTCCGGTTCCTGATGTCCCTCCTCTCCTGTCCAAGGGGACGAGAAGGTTAAGCCTGCAGGTTCAGAAATCAACAAACATGTCAGCCACACACACCGAGTGCCTACCATATACCATGTCCTTTATACACCACTCATTTAATGCTCACAACCATCTCATGAGGTAGGTGCCCTCATCTCCATAGGAGGAAACCGAGGCACAGAAATGAAGCAACCGGCCATGGGACACAGTTTGTAAGTGGCAGAGTCAGCATCTAACCCAGTTCTGTCTCACTCCGGACTCTTGAGCTCTTTCCACTCTAGGCAGTCCCTTTCCACCCCTGTGCCCTCAACCCCACCTCGGGGCAGCGCCTTGAGCACTTTAGAGCCTCCACCCAGGAGGTGGGGCCTTTGAGAAAGTGGGAAGGCTCAGCTTCTGGGTCCAACTTCCCAGCCCTGCGGATGGTCCAATTTCCCCTGGATGTGAGGGAGGTGTTAGGTTAGTCAGTGAGAGGACCTTCACCATGAGAGGTACTTTGGTCTGAATGTGCTCCCTCTAGGATTCATATGTTGAACCCCCCAAAGTGATTATATTGGGAGTGGGGACTTTGTGGAGCCCTCACAAATGGGATTAGTACATTTCTAAAAGAGGCTCCAGAGTGACCCCCAACCCCTTCTGCTGAGTGAGGACAGCGAGAAGGCATTGACTATGAACCAGGAAGAGAGCCTTCACCAGAACGGGACCGTGCAAGCACACGGACTTGGCTTCCAGCCTCCAGAACAGAGAAATAAATGTCCTTTGTGTGCATAACCTACCAAGTCTGTGGTATTTTGTTATTGCAGCCCAAATGGACTAAGACAGGAGGCCTTTGCTGTTACATAAACATGCGATTCACCATGACAATTGTCGCGTGACCTCCAGGTGACCCCACACCCTGGCTTCTCCCTAATGGACCTTAGCTCCTGGCATCTTTTGTGCCATGCCAGGTGAGGGTGGGAGTCATGTCCTATTGGCCCACCTTGGCCTGGGCAGCCTCACTCAGGAGACCGGCCAAGAATCAGAGGACTGCTGCTTCATGAGACGGCGGGATGCCCGCTCACTCCCTGAGCCTTGAGCATAAGGGAAAGGAGATCCCCAAAGTCACAGACACGCGTGGATGCCGGGGCAAGGGTGTCCGTAGAACCTGAGTGCAGATCATGAACCAGACATAAACTGGCCTGGGAGTGGATGGGGGAGTGGGAGCTTGTCCCCTTCGCACCAGTTTTGAACCTTTGCCTGACACTGCTTGTGGCTCTGCTGTCCGCTTCTCCGGGGCCATCTAGGGCGTGTGACAGTTGGAGGAGCGAGGTCCCCTTCCAACTCCAAACTTCCAGCCTCCAATGGGCAGGTGAATGCCTGGGCACGTGGGTCTGCTCCAGGGGCCCACCACCCAGCACCTGCAGCCTTCATTTCTCCATCTGGCTTGGGATCAGAGCAGCCGTGAGCTCAGACCCCCGTTCCTGCCACTTCATCTGGCCACAGCTCACACTTTGCTGAAGTAGGTGGCCACCTCTTTGCGTGGAAGCCGGGGCCCACCCCCTGGCCAGCCGTTGCCCATCAGGGGCTCCTCCTGGCCCAGCTTCAGGGGCGGCTTGCATTTGTGCCAGCTCGTGAGCAGCCTGTTCATGGCACCTTGGTCGGTGATGCCGCGAAGCTTCTCCCTCTCTTCCTTGGCACTGTCCGTGGCAGCTGGGGCATCTGAGCTAGCAGGGGCCATGGCCAGCGCCCCGTGGGTGTGACCCAGCTCCAGGTCATGGTTCATGGCCTCGAAGAACTGCTGGATACAGACCTTGGCGAAGGCCTTGGCGTGCTCCGTGCACGTCTCATCGAAGAGCTTGCGTTCAATGTCGATGTAGTGGGACCAGTACTTGCTTTTGAGGAAGGCGGCCTGTGTGAAGCAGGGTCGCACGGAGCGCACGACAAATGCCAGCAGCGTGGTCAGCAGCACGAAGGACCAGCCCAAGGCCTGCATGGGAGAGAAGAAAGAGTCAATGGGCATTGCCCTCTGGCCTCCCAAGTCTGTCTGCACACTCCATACCACTCTCTATGTCAGGCCCTTTAGTGAAAAGAGCACCAATTGGGCAAGTGACTTCACCTCTTGGCCTCCATTTACATGTCTGTAAAGTAGGCATATATATACCCATTTCATGAAAATCAGGTCATGTGAAGAATATACCCCATGTCGAGTCCTGGCACTCAACAGGTAGGAGTTAACTAGATAGACTCTGGAGTTAGGCCACCTTGGGTTTGGATCCTGTCTCCACTACTTACTAGTTGACCAGGAGTAAGCTGACTTCTCTGTGTACAAGTAGCTCTCTCCCTTGTAGGGCAGGCTCAGCCCCTTTCCTGACAGCTACTGGTCCATGGGCTACAAGGGCACGCTGCCCAGGCTGCCCTCCCCGCACTGTGCTGCCTGCAGGGGAGGCCTGAGGGCTCCACAGGTGAGCGCCCAGAGAGGCAGAGAACTGGAGCTCTGGATTTCCTCAGTGGGCCCTCCATCCCTGCCTTCAGGGCACATCCCCACAGTGCCTCCCCCTCCCCAAGGGGCTCCGGACCCTCAGCTCCCACTCCCTAACCAGGGAGACACCGGCTGGGAGCATTTGCCAGGGAAATGTACCCAAATGGCTTAGCCACTCACCAGCCTCACCACGGTCCCAGCCTGGGGGAGGAAAAGGATGCAAATTCCCCCAAGCGTCCAAGCGGGAGCTCAGGATGGAGGCTCTGGAGCTGGCTGAGCCCTTGGGTCTGCTCTGGGGACCTCAGGGCAGGACACAGGCCTCTGGGCTGAAAGTAGTCGCAGCACTTTCCCCAGGTGGCCCGGATCTGAAGAGACACGTGGCCTTCAGAAGCCCCTGCCTCTGCTGGGAACATATGCCCCTGCCCCACAGGGCTCCCCCTGCTCTGTTGGAAAGCATCGCTGTTCCTGAGAGATCCCCGTTTTGAGGGGCGGGGGTGGGGGAATTGGGCCCTGGCAGAGACCCAGGTCTGTGCAGGGAGCCCCAACCCAGGCCGCCGTCCCCCTCACCTGGGAGATGCAGCGCAGGTAGCGCACGGCCACCTCCCGGGCCAGCAGCCAGTCGCCGTCGTAGATCTCGGGGCAGGGCACCCGGGCCAGCAGGCGGGCGAGCTCTGGCGGGGTGAGGCTGGGTGCCAGGCTGCTGTTGCCCAGCACGGTCACGGGCACGGCGGTGCAGAAGGCGCAGAGGAAGCACTTGCCGTCCAGCAGCGTGACGGCCACCCAGACCACGGGCGCGATGAGGGCGCGCTGGGCCATGGAGCAGAACATGTAGCGCAGCACGGCGGGGTCCTTGGCCCGGCGGCCCAGCGGCCGCTTCCACTCCTCGGCCAGCATGGACACGTTGTTGTTCAGCACCAGGCCGAGCAGGAAGAGCACCAGCGGCGGAGCCAGCAGGATGCCCGCGCTGTAGGCTGCGTTGTAGCCCGGCAGGCAGGGGCAGTTGAAGTCGAAGGCCGAGTAAATCTGGGCGCTGGCCAGGGCCATGATGCCGCAGATGCCGTTCATGAAGGACTCCTGGTTGGACTGCAGGAACTGGAAGACCATCCGGAATTTGTCCATCGCGTCCCCCCTCTCCCGCCCCCCCACGGAGCGCGGTGGCCTCCTCCCACCTCACCGCTGCCTAGAGGATGCCTCTGGCAGCCCACCGTGCCCACGGGGTGCCCACCTCATGGCTGAGATGGGCAGAGCTCAGGGCAGTGGCGGAGGTCACGGTCTCTCTGAGAAACCTGGTCAGGTGCTGGCTGGCCAGGAGGCGCCAGGCGGCCAATGCTGTGGGTGTAGCCAGGATTCTGCCCCTCCCCTCGGGGCTCGCTCTCCACAGCCACCTCCGGGCACAGGGAAACCACCAGGGCCACACCTGAGAGGGACCAGTTCTCTATGGGTGAGGGAAGGACGGCCGGGAGTGCACACTGGTTGGGAAGACACTGTCTCCAGCAGGGTTGGAGTTTGGGGCAATCCAGGGCCACGGCAGAGGTCTGAGCTTCTGAATCGTGTCCCCTGGGCTCCAAGCCAAGGAAGCATGTCACCCTCTTCCTGCCCTTAATCTATGCCAGGGCCCCCCATCCGTTCAGACAGTGATGGTACTGTGATCAGGGATGGCAATGGCAGTGGTGTCTATACTGGGGGTGATCATGGAGGTGCCGGGGAAGGCAGTGTTGGTGTTGGGGATGGTGCTGATGGCGGTGACGATGGCGGCGGTGTGATAGCAGTAATGATAATGATGGTAGTCGTGGTTTTGGTCACAGCAGGAGGGCAGCGCTGGAGACAGTGCTAACATGACACGGGGTAGAGTAAAAAGTCCTGAGTTTGGAGCCAGAGGATGTAAATCTGAGAGGTTGCTGGGTCTCCTTCCTACTGGGCAGGGAGCTATAGACTGTGAGCATAATGCAGGTGCTTTTATGTCTTAGGTCTCTGTGGGTGTCTGCGTTTGTAGATGAGAAGTCCTTTCCCCGCCCCGCCTCCTGCTTCTCCCCCAGATTAAAAGATAAAGGGGTGGGGCGGGGTTTCATGCCTGGAGCTCAGGCCCACCAGCATCTGTGGGAACCAAGCCAGGGCCCCTCCTAGCAAAGTGGGGAGGAGCTTACAGGGCTCCCTTTGATGCCCACCAGTTCTCCCAGAAGAGCAGGTCAGACCCAGCGCCAACCAGATGGCTCCTGTCTGGGGCGAGAGGGTGGGGCCGGGGCTGACACGGAGCAAGCGCCTGGACAGGGTCGCTCTGTGCATCCCCGTGGGTGCTGTGGGTGCTGGCGGTGCCTTGGGGCCTCGGTGTCTGTGTATCTGCATGTGTGCGTGTGACCACATTAGGGGGTCTGTGCATGTCTGTGTGACCAGCAAGCACTTGCCTTGCCTGGGCTTTCCCTGGGTCAGGCCCTGTGCCAGCACTTCACACCACGGGACACGGGACAAATAGTTAAAAATCGGCTGTCCCGCCAAAAGCGGGACGTCTGGTCACCTGAGGCTAGGGGGGAGTGGTGGTGGGAAAGGGGGCGGGAGCGTGTTTTCTGGCCTTTCTCTTGCAGCTGCATCAGGTTCTCTTGGCCTGCTAGCGCAGGTGGAAAAGGGCGTGCACCCATAGGAAGCGGATGGAGAAGGAGGGTGCCCCTCTTTGCAGCCCTCGGGCTGGGCCTGGGGCAATTGAGGCCTCTAGGCTGGTGGCCTCTGGAGGACCCCTGTTGGAGGCTCCCCAGGAAGGGACGCTCAGGGGGAGAGCAGGATGAGGGTGGGGGTGTGCTGGGTCCTTTGCCTCCTGTCCTGGCACCCGCCCCAGTGCCGGAGGAGTTAAGTATCATGAAAAGCAGCATGCAAAGGGGCCGCTGGGGAGCAGGCGCTGGACCTTTAGGAAAATGTCCCATTTGCGTAGGAAGGCATGAGAGCATGGTGCTCCCACAATGCCACAGGCCTTGGTCCTGCCTCTCCTCACCCAAGCCTCTCTCTCTCTCTTGTATATAATATATCCATTCCTGCAGCTCAGGCATCACAGCCAAGTGGGTGAACCACAGGTTTCAGCCCTCCTCCTGACCTTGGCTGCGAGCACTGTCTCATCCCTGCCTTCCTGCAGAATAAAGTCAAGGTCCTGAGCTATTCGTCCAAGACTCCCACCATCCTTCCCTCCTCACGCAGAACTGCAGCTGCCCAGGCTGCACGGGCAAAGTGGGGGATTTAGACCAGCAACGCCCTCACGGCTAGTACATTTCTGCCTCGCCCAGCTGGCCGCTGTGTCTCCTGCACGAGAGGCTCCATGTGCAGGGTAGGGGCAGGAGGGCATCACCCAGAGTTCGAGGAGGCTTGGGGAATGAACTTGGGCACCCCCGTTGGCTGCTCTGCTGGGAGGGAGGGTCTTCAGGTGCAGACAGAAGCCTCCCACTTGTGTCCCTCTCTCTCAGGCGAGGGAGGCGGCACACGCTGCTCCAGGCATCTCTTTCTCACGGGACGTGTACAAATGATGGTGTGGATGGACATTGGCAAAGACTTGGGGTTTGCAACCATATTGTGTTTGGGGGCTAGAAAGGGTGGGGATACATTTGAGGGCCATCGATGGCAGAGGATCCCAAGAATATGTCCTTGGTACTCTTGGTGGACTTCATGTGGGGTGGGCGCCTCAGCTCTCCAGCCAAGGTCCTTACTTTAGCCAGGCTGGACGGCACACCCCTTCACCTGGCTGTGTGTTCACTAGCGCATGTCCTGTCTTCCCTTCCAGACTGGAAGCTCCATGAAGATAGGCCCATGTCTGTCCTGCTCTCCGACGCTCCAGGCATCCCATCGATGTTTGCTGAAAGAATACACTCAACATGTGCTGCCCCTTCCCCAACTCTTTGCCTTTGTTCTTGCCATTTCTTCCCTTGAGGTGCTCTGCCCCACCCCCACGTCTCTCTCTACTTATCCAAACCCTCCCCATCCTTCAAGACCCATTCAAATGCAGCTGATCCCCCAGCTTGGAGCATTATTCTACATGCTGAATCCCCATGGCACCAGGCTTGCCTCTATCGTATCACACCTTTTGCTTCAGACTATACTGATTCCTGCACCCTTCACTGACTGCCTCTCCATTAGACAGTAAGCTCCTTGGTGGCAGGCTTTATCATCTGTGTATTCTCTCTTCCTTACTCCCCGGTACCGGGCCGTCTATGCAGTCGGTGCCCTGTAAGTGCTCAGTATTAGAAGGGAAGAGTATTGGTGACAGTCAGTGGCTTTTTACTGGTCCTGATGCTGCATCCTTGCAGCCCAAAGTGAGGTCACTGAGCCTCCTTTCCCCAGCCTGGGTCTCACCAGCTCTGACTGGGCCATCTCCAAGCTTTCCCCACCCCCTCCTCACCCAATCCCTGCTAATGCTTTGCCTAAATCTTGCCCCACCTCAGTGCCATTTCTGATATTTGCATGGCCTGACCGCAGCAGGGTAGGTGCGGGGAGACTGAATTGCAGGGATTGTCTGGTCCTACAAGGTCCCTTGGCAAGAGGTCAGGAGAACAGATATAATGATTCTGATCTGGAGGGGCTGATCCTGGGACTCCTGGACTACTCTAGGCCTGATGACTAGAAAAGCATGGGTCTGCACCATTTGTGCTAATGAAGGCAATAGTGGGATGTGAGTGTGTGTGTGTGTGTGTGTGTGTGTGTGTGTGTGTGTTTGTGTGTGGTATGAGTGAGTCATTAGGGAGGAGCTCACAGGCTAGATCTTCCCCAACCCTTCCTGTTAGGGCCACCAGACATGGAGTGGCAGTTTCTCCCCCCCTCGCACCCCCCAGCAAGATCTAACCTGGGGGTTTCAAGGGTTTTCGTGTCCTATAGCCAGACCCTACATCCACAGTTGTCCCAGAATTTACAAAATCTTCTTGTTCAACGTGGAGATGTCTAAGTCTGCCCCCATTCTGATTTGCCGATCTGGTCCTCACACCACACACCAGGGGAAATCCTCACCAGGGTGCCAGCGTCTTGCTGAGGGCAGTGGGTAAGAGAGCCCTGAAAATGTCTGAGGAAGGAGAGGCTGAGCTCAGGTGTCAGGCCGCAGGTGGGGGGGGAGGGCAAGGTGGCGAGTGGAAAGGTGAGGGAGGACGCGTCTGCTAACTGAAGGTGGGCAGAAAAGCTGGGCCGAGAAAGGAGCTGCATCTCAAAATGGGGAGCAACTTGGAGGGGGCTCAGCCTTGGTCTGCTAGAAACAGAATTGGTGGGACTTGGGTAGCTGGGAGCTGGAAGGGTCAGCCCTCTTGACGTTCAAAACCGGAAAAATTGCCAGGCCATGAGGTAGTAGAGATGCGGCTATTTTTAAAAAATACATTTTATTGATTTTTTACTGAGCGGAAGTGAGAGAGATAGAGACTTAGAAACATCAATGAGAGAAAAACATCCATCAGCTGCCTCCTGCACAGCCCCTACTGGGGATGTGCCCGCAACCAAGGTACATGCCCTTGACGGGAATCGAACCTGGGACCTTTCAGTCCGCAGGTTCTATCCACTCTATCCACTGAGCCAAACCGGCCCTGCCTTGGGTTCCCACAGCCTGGGAAACCCGGAGGCTGGTCAGCACAGGGCCCCTTCCCATGGCGATCGTGCGCTCAGCCTACAGCGTTCCAATCTTTCAAAAAAATCGGGACTTTTTTAAAACGCCGCAGAACGCGGGATAAATTGTTAGAAATCGGGACTGTCCCGCCAAAAGCGGGACGATCTGGTCACCTTAGGCTACACATCGGTGTGCTGGGACAGCCTGGTCCCCGGCGCCGCCTGGGGCGCGCGGTGGCTGAGGCCGCGTCCCCCGAGCCCGGGCGGTGCCGCCAGGTCCAGGGGCGGCTTGCGTGAGTACCAGGCGCTCAGCAGGTGGTTCACCTGCTCCCGGCTGGAGACGGCGCGCAGGTGGGCTTTCCCACCTTCGCCGTCCGTGCCCTCGGGGGGCTCTGGCACCTCGGGGGGCTCGGAGCCGCTGCCCGCGGGGCCCCGCCGCAGCCCCCGCGCCCGCAGCTCGCCCTGCATGCTGGCGAAGAAGTGCAGCACGCAGCGGTGCGCGAAGTCCCGCGCGTGCTCACAGCACGTCTCGTCGAAGAGCTTCTGCTCCAGGTCCACGTAGTTGCTCCAGTACCTGCGCTGCAGGAAGACCGTCTGGTCGAAGCAGGGCCGCAGGCAGCGGGCCAGGAAGGCCACCACGATCAGCAGCAGTGTGACGCTCCAGCCGATGGCCTAGAGGGCGGGGACAAGGAGGGTGGGTGTGCGGAATGGGGTGGCAGGCATAGGTGTTCCAGTCTCTTCCTGTATCTCTTCCGTCCTTCCTCAGTTATATTTATCTCTCCGTTAGTCATCCATCCAACTAACAACCTCCACCCATCCTCCCTTCAATATCATCTCATTCTGCATCCATTCATTTCCCCAGCTATCTCTCTCCCTATCCATCCAGTCATCCATCTTCCCATAGGACTACATGTCTATTATATTCCTATCCAGATCTCCTCTCAATTATCTTTCCATCTGTCCATCATCCATCTTCCTGTCCAGCCATCTATTCTCCCATCCATTCATATTCTGATACTCTCATCCTTCCTCCAATTTGCTTATCCAACCATTCATGTACCCACCATTCATCCTCCCATAGTCTGATTCTGGAAATCAGACTATGTCACCCTAACGTAGGTCTCTTGGACATAAAATTATTTTGAACTGAAGAAAATTAAGAAGCAGCAAACATAGGAGAAGTTCTTTCTACCTCCCCCCTTTCTGCCTAAAGGCAAGATATAAATTCTCCTTTTACTGGAGACAGACTCTGATCAGCCCAGAGGCAGCACGAGAGGAATGTGCAAACAAAACCTTACTCGATTGGTAAGGAGAAAGAAACTCCGTTATATCCTCTCACGTATTTACCTTTCCACAGTTTCTGCCCTTGGGAGCCTAAAACTGCTTTCCTTTGTCCTGTCATTTCTCTACAAAGATATTACTCTTGGCTGAAGATGCTATATAAGCCGGAATTCTAAGCCACTTCTTGGAGTCACTCTTTGGTTTAGGTTTCTCCTGTGTGGTGTCCACTGCACACGTTAATAAACTATTGGTTTCCCTTTTGTGAATTTTTTTTTTTTGTTAGCATCTCAGCTGAAAGCCTAAGATGGGAAGAAGTAAAGTTTTGCCTTCCCTACACTCCATCCATCCATACACCCATCCATCCATCATCCTTTCATTTTTTATTCAGTGCTCCATCCATCCTCACATAGATTTATCTATGTGTCCATCTATCCTATATTTTGGGGGAGGCACTGGGGACCCAGTCTTTTCTCTCACAGAGCTTACACTTAAGCAGAGGAAACAACTAAGAGGCGATGCCTGGCTCTGTGCCACGGTAAGGGAAGTGCAGGGAGTCATGGGAATTTACCCAACCTGAACCTGAAGGCTCAGGGAACAGTGAGGTTTAGGCTGAGACCTGGAGGACTGGTAACAGTTGCACAGGATACAAACAGGGAACAGTGCTGCAGGAGGCCAAGAGTGAGACACCGTTAGAGGCTGTTCTCTGAGGCTGGAGCAGCTCCAGCAGGAGGGAGGGGCTGCAGGCAGGCATCTGTACCGCCTCATCCCTCGGAACCCAGGCAGGATATTCGGGAGGCTTCCCGGGAGAGGACCGTCCAGATTACCTGCGACAGGCACCGCAGGTAGCGAGACACCGCCTTTCGAGCAGGGCTGTCCCTCACCAGCTCGTCCTCCTTGCAGGGCACCTTGGCCAGGAAGAGCTGAACCTGGCTGGGGGTCATGTTGGCAAAGTCCAGAAACTTCTCAGGGTCCACGGAGCTGCTGAAGGCACACACGAAGCACTTCCCATCCAGGAGGGCCAGCAGGATCCAGAGAAGGGGGGCGGCCAGCGCTCTCTGCAGCACGGAGGAGCACATGTACCTGGGAGCAGAGGAAAGGCAGGTCACAAAGGGCAGCTGGAATTCAGCTGAAGCAGGAAGGCTGCAGGAGAGATGCAGAGATGGACTTCCCATGAGGGCTGGGGAATAGCAGTGTCGATGTGGGTAGGGAGCCTGACAAATGACCATGGGGGAAGGGTAGAGTTTGGGGGTGTCCCTGACAATTCCTATGCAGGTGAGGGGTCCTGACCATGGCCATAGGGGAAGGTCAGAGTTTGGGGTGCCCCTGGCAGTGCCTGTGCAGGCATGGGCGGGACCTGACAATGCCCACGGGCCTCTGAGTGGTACGGGGGCCCCCTCTCGCACCTGATGATGCCCGGGTCCTTCCTGCGGTGCCCGGTGGGCCGGCGCCACTCCTCCACCATCACCACGGACTGCCGGTTGGCCAGGAGGCCGCAGAGGAACAGGACGAGCGGGGGCGTGAGCAGCAGGCCCAGGCCATAGAGGGCATTGTAGTGTGCCAGGCAGGGGCAGTTGAAGTCGAAGGAGGAGTACAGCTTGACGGTGACCACGGCCAGCAGCAGGCAGACGCCGTTCATCACCGACTCGGAGCTGGACTGGAAGTGCTGGAAGAGCATGCGGAACTTCTCCATGGCTCCCGCCCGGCGGGTGCGGGCAGCGAGGCTGCAGGCGCCTTCCTGGCCAGGGATGGGGGTGCGTCCGGTCCCCAGGAGGTCCTTCTCTTCCTAGAACCTCCAGCTGTCCACTCAGGCTCCTCCGATGTCCAGCGATGATCCCCAGAGCCGCTCTCTCCTCTCTGGGAAGTGAGTCCCCGCTCTGTGACCATCCAGCCCAAACCAAAGCACCTCCAGGCAAATGTGCCCTGCCCTGTCACCCCACCCGTCCCTGCCCGTTCCCTCCTCTCTCCAGGGTGTGGACACTGATGCTGACAGCTGGTGGGGTGTCCTGGGAGGCCAGGCAAATTTTGGGTGTGGGAAGGCCACGGCGCAGATGGAGCCAATGATGTTGCCTCGTTTCATCAAAAACATGACTCGATTCAGCTGAGCCTGGGAGCTTGCAGGTCGGCTTCTGTTCGGGGAGGGACACCTCCTCTTGCCTGAAGGTTTCCGGGAAGAGAAAACCCTGGAGAGGTTAAGCCCTGTTTCAGCTCGTGCCAATGAAAGGCTGTGAGCAGGGAAGGCCTTCTGGGCGGAGGAACACACGGGCAGCAGCACAGAGGTGAGAAGCAATTGGTGTGGCAGGCGGTGTGGGGTTACTGGAATGGAGTGGCAGGCAGTGGGCGTCAGGAGAGGGGCTGGAGGCTCAGGGGGGCAGCCCTCCGCTCCCATTCATTCATTCATTCATTCATTCTGCTGCTCTCCGGATCATATTTCCCCAACGCACAGCTTCCACTCCCTCTCTCCCCTGTGTGCCCGAGGGTCCATCAGCCTCCTTGGCTTGGCATCCCTCCTAACGGTACCCACACGTGTCCTCCCACCTCCACTGAACATCCGCGCCCCTTCTTTCCACCTGCTCTTCAGGAGGCAGCTCAGATGCAGCCCTGTCCCCAAGCCGCCCCTGCTGAGCTCAGCTTGTAGGGGCCTCGATCGACCGCCTGGCCCCAGGAAAGGCCGCCTCGGCCTGTTAGGAATCTCCTGGTGCGGGGACTGATTGTCCTCTGCAACATGTCATGTGGCGCTAAGCACATAGCAAGGGACAGCGGATGCTTGCTGTTTGTGATGTGGGCCCTCAGATGCTGTCTCTAGCTCTGGCCTCCCTGCCCACCTCCTGCCCTGTCCGCATGGGTCCTGTCTAGGAAGCAGATGAGTGGCATGTGGGTCCTGCCCTTAATTTCTCTTCGCCTCTCTCTCTCTCTGTCCCTTTGTCTCTCTCTCTCTCCTTCATTCTTTCCCCTTTTCTGTCTCTCTAATGACCTTTCTGTGTGTGTGTGTTCATGCACAGTTAACTCGCGGTGTCCCTCAGTGTGTTTGTGAGTCTTTCTGTGTCCCTCTGTCTGCCTGTCTCTCTCTGTGTAGCTACTACCTCTTCCTGTCTTTTTACCTTTTCCTTCTCCTCCCCTGCTTTCCACCCCATAGCATCCCCGTCTTACTGGCCCCAGGCCTCCCATTGGCTGCCCGGCTTGGGGAGGGGAGAGGAGGCATCTGCAGGGGCAGGTGTCGGCAACCTACGGATCCAGAGCCGCATGCGGCTCTTTTGAAGCTTTACCGCGGCTCCGACAACTTGCAAGCCTGTGTAAAAATGAAGGTAACGTCTTACAACCCTGATGTGCTGACACTGTGCACTGAGGTTGCACAGGAGCAAAAATCCCATTAACCAGGTAAATTAAATATTTTAATTAGCTATTAATTTGCAAAAATATATTTTACATTGTTAAGTGAAAAAGTCCTTTTTTCCTTCAGATTGACAGCTAACTGCACGATCCGGTATATAGCATTAAGGTAAGAAACAATATATGCAGTGTTATATTTGTCTTAAATGTCGCAATGGTTTTGCGGCTCCCAGGTGTTTTTTTCCTTCGGAAACGGGTCCAAGTGGCTCTTTATGTCTTAAAGGTTGCAGACCCCTGTGCAGGGGTGATGTGAGCTCTGGGGTCACAGACCAGTGGGCCTTGGGCCTGCAGCATGGGAGTGGGGGGGGGGGTAGGGTGGGGGGCGGTGAGGTGTCCAGGCCCCAACCCTGCAGGCTCTTCCTCAATCTGCAACCTCTGGCTCCCTTACTGTCAGCCTAGGGCCACTCTGAGATAAGAAAAACCTCAGGGATTGGGGTGGCCTTGACCGCACCAACCCCCCACCCCATCCAGCCTGGCCTCCTGGATCCAAGCGCTGGTCTTAGTTAAATGTGAGTGTCCGCACTGTGGTCCTTTCCCCAGACCCTGGGTCCTCCTGGTCACAAGCACAGCGTCTCCCCAAACCCCCAGAGCAGGGAGGACTGCATCCTGGATCCTCCCCCTCCGCAGAGGCCCTGCTCCATGCTGTTACCTCCACACAGTTCGCCAGGACCTGTGCCTCCGCGCTGACTACCCTTGTTTCCATATTCCCAAACGCCTTTGAGAAAATGGAAATACTGCCAAAATCGGCCTGCGGACTGAAAGGTCCCGGGTTCCATTCTGGTCAAGGGCATGTGCACTGGTTGCGGGCACATCCCCATTAGGGGGTGTGCAGGAGGCAGCTTGTTGATGTTTCTCTCTCATTGATGTTTCTAGATCTCTATCCCTCTCCATTTCTCTCTGTAAAGAAGCCAATAAAATATATTTTAAAAAAAAGAAAAGAAGCCAAGACTGGTTTGGCTCAATGGATAGAGCGTTGGCTTGGGGACTGAAGGGTCCCGGGTTCGATTCCGGTCAAGGGCATGTGCCTTGGTTGCGGGCATATCCCCAGTAGGGGGTGTGCAAGAGGCAGCTGATCGATGACTCTCTCTCATCGATGTTTCTAACTCTCTATCTCTCTCCCTTCCTCTCTGTACAAAATCAATAAAAATATAAAAAAAAAAAAAAGAAAAGAAAATGAAAACACCCCCATTTTCCTGGTTAAACACACCACTGTGAAACATTTAAAAATAGGAAACATGAAAGTGTCCCTGTCAGAGCAATCCCCAGAGAGTCTCCCTGTTCCTGCAAGGGTGTGTGTCCTTCCAGACTTTTCCAGGGCCCACAGGGACACTTGCTGGCTGGCCTGCCTGGCGTTCCTTGGGAGAATCGTTAACCACCGGTAAGGAACCCCGGGGGTGCCAGGGGAGGGGCAGCTCAGGATGCCCCGTGTGACTTTCTATTGGAGGGGTATCTGTCCTTCTCTTCACTCTCATCACACAGGCCTCTCACTGTGTCCAGTTCCAGCTTCTCTGAAGGGTGACCGCCCAGCTGTTGGAGGGGCAACCGGGACCTGCAAAACACATTTGGGTAGGTCCCTTAGCCTGTGGTTTAAGTCACACCTTTCCAAATGTGACCTGCAAAGTCCGTTACGGTGGTCTGTGCAGTTTATACCTCTGATGGGATAGCAACAGAGAGAAATCTGTCTGTTGTATTGCTTTGTATTTTGCCTAAGACTGGATTCCCTGCATCAGGGGACACGGGGAGGGAGCCAGCGACGACAAGAGAGCCGTCAGAGGCACGCAGGTGTGTCTGCATGGAGGAGAAGGTGGGCCATTGGGGAGAGATCCTTCAAGCTCATTCATTCTCTGGGGCTCCTACCGAAAGCACAGAACCACCCCTGACGACTGCCACTTTCCTCAGGGAAGGCTGGTGCCATGCAGGGCACAGGAGGCAGACAGGATTCTCCTTCTGTGCCTTCCAGCCTCAGTCGCTGTTGGATGGCTGACAGGAAGGGAACTGTCCTGGCCCCGGGCCATGCTGCCGAACCCTGAAACCCAGGGCTGCCAGAGCAGAGGGTGGAGAGAACAGGGCCGGGGGAAGGGCCGAGCGCCTCTCTCCCATTCTAGTCTCGGGGGATTCTTCAGAAAAGGACACGGTAAGAAACTGGGACACGTTCTCTCCCAGGCCAGCTGTTCACAGCTCCGACCTCTGACAGGTGAGACCGAGCTCCCAGGTCAGCCGGGGCCTGCAGGGGGTGTGTGCTGCGTGTCTGCACTGGCCCTGGCTAGGTCTTAACTGGAAACACTCAAACAAAGAGGGAAGAAGGCAGCTGGCCATAACTTATAATAAATACTCAAGGTGAGGGGGTGGCCTCACATGAAAAAAATCTGTATTTTCTAAGTTGTCTACTTTCATAATAATAGTTTAAAAATATTTCCAATAGTCAAAACCGGTTTGGCTCAGCGGTAGAGCATTGGTCTGCAGACTGGAAGGTCCCAGGTTCGATTCCGGTCAAGGGCATGTACGTTGGTTGCGGGCACATCCCCAGTAGGGGGTGTGCAAGAGGCAGCTGATCGATGACTCTCTCTCATCGACGTTTCTAGCTTTCTATCTCTCTCCCTTCCTCTCTGTAAAAAATCAATAAAATATATTAATATATATATATATATATATATTTCCAATAAAAAATCATAAAATATTTTTACTGGAAAAAATAAAAGGGATTAAGGAACAAAGTAAAAGAGGAGGGGATTAATTTGTTGCCTAGAGCCCTGGACCAGCTGAACCAGGAGAAATAGAGGAAAGAAAAGGAGAACTCTGGCCAGGTTAGCCCTTCCACTCTCTCAAAAAATCAATGGAAAAAATATTCCTGAGTGAGGATTAATAACAAACAAACAAACAAACAAACAAACTAACTAGTGGAGAAAACTGTTTTACTCATGTGTGTGGAAAGATGTTACCTCATAGATCTGCTGCATGATAATGTCTTAAGTCAGAGTTTCTCAATCCCCTGTCCCATCCCAGGGGTCTGCAGCTATGTCCTTGGGGGGGGGAGCGAGTCTTTTAATTCTGGGGAAATTTTTTAAAATTCACCACCCTAGGATATTATTTCCATTTATTGGAAGGGAGGGAGAGAGGAAGAGAGAAAGAGGAGAGAGAGAGAGAGAGAGAGAGAGAGAGAGAGAGAGAGAGAGAGAGAGAGGGAGATGAGAGACACATTGAACCTAAGACCCTTTGCTATTTAGGGCAATGCTCTCATCACTAAACAGCATCAGCCAGGGCTCTGGGGAAATTTTTAAATTCACATTTTATTTTAATAATGAC